TACACGCTGTGTATGGCAGGAGCTTGAAATACAGTATCTGTTTAATACTTGGCGGTTCTACATACGAGAGTAGCATGGTGTCTGTCAAGTGGACGGGCAAGCACATTGTTCTCATTAACTTGCATACCTCGCATCAGTGTTCTGTTTCCATGGCGTTAGATTGATTGAATATGATTGAAATACGGTACAAGTGGACTGAGTCTTTGTGGTTGGTTTTTGCGGGGGAGAGAGAAAAAGAGAGATGGGTAAAATTAAATTGCAAGTAGATGTATATATTACTAATATTGAACTTGCGATGGTTTCATTATACTGGAGGTACATGTATTTAAAGTGTATTAACAAAGTATTTATTATCACAACCTTTTCACTACCAGTTCCCTCTTTTAATCACAAAATAGTCCCATTTATAGTCTGCCCTTTCCTTCAAAAGATTGGGACACAAAAAAAGCCAAATTTTTGGAGTAAAAACAGAAAATTTATTCAAATTTTATCTGTTGGCTCCAAAATTAAGGTTCATTTCCAGAAATATTGAAGAATATAAAAAAAAGTGAAAACAAATTTGAGCGGGAAAGTCTGGTGGTGAAAAATGTTTGATGAGATATAGAGAATTTTTGGCAATCTTGCAAACTGAACTTGATACAAAATCAAATCTTTTGATGCGATATACATGTACCGTGGAATATCTCAATACAAATTGTGAAATGATCGCAAAATGACAAGACAAACTTGTATTGAAAAACCATTGCAAATGAGTGAGTTGGAACTGGTAGGTGCTCATCCATTTTTCCTAGGATCCGCTTTTTCCCAAACCATATGTTAATTCGTTTTGTGTTTTTGAATTTGTGATAATCTTGTTCTTTTCTGTTTAGGTAGTTAAACTTTTCAATACATCCTTTGTGAACTGTTGTGGTATTGGTTAGAAACACGTTTGATTGACGCTTGTATGAATGATGATCTTCACTCCATATCTCCTTACATAGATATTCACATGTACATGTATGCTCCATACCCTTACAGTATCTTACGAAACCTTGACTCATCTTTATTTTGTACCTGGTACAGTAATTTATTAGTTACATTATCAACACATGAAATATTCATGTTCTGATTATTTATTTAAAGCAGTTCATTATGATAAAATGTCACTCAAATAAGTAAACTCCCTTGTCTCAAAGACCTTAAGGGAAATTTTCACTTTTACAGAAATTTTGTGTTTTACCTGACTAGCGAAATTTAAAAACGGTCTCACATGAAATCAATTTAAAGCGGTTTACTTTTCGGTACTAAAACATGAATAAATTGCAGTAGACCTTTATGTTGTTGGCTTGCGTACTACCAACAAAATTAGAAGATGATGTAGATTTCGCTTGATTAAAGAAGTCGCATGATTTGCGAGATCATCACAAAATCGCTAGAGAAACCTACATTTCTGTAAGTGTTATTGAAAATTATCGAGTCTGTGAAAGTACTTATTATTATTCACCCCGATCGTTTTTGGTTGTGTCCTTGCTGATTCACAAAGCGTGTAATACTTTCTTACTCATTTATATGTACCTGTATGTGAACTTGAACCTTCCAAAATGTCTACTGTGACGCTATTGGTTAGAAATGCATTTGATTGTCGTGCACAGCATGAGACCGCTTTCAAGCGCTTGCAAAACATGTGAGATTGCTTCTCAGCTGATCTTCGCATATCACGTGAATAACCTGCACATGCTTATACCTAGTCATTACATCCTTTTGAATGCTTTGTTATCATTCACAAAAATAAACTTAAGTACAGTATTTTGCTTGGAGTATCACATGCAGTTTAATGTACATGTTAATGTAGGGCTTGAGTTAAATATTCTGAGAACACTAATTTTAAAGCTAAAACTTCTGAAAATGCCTTGGACTGATTAAAATTATGAACAAAGTACTGAAAGGCATCAGGTGGGGGCATCCACACAGTTGCCTATATGACTTTTCTGAATTTTGAGATCTGTAAATAAACAATTTATTACACGTGTGGATAGACAATTTACCGTTAACTTGCAAGATCCCACGTTGTGCGTGAAATTGAACGTAAAAACAGAACAAACAAAAGGTCATAGTGACATTCGAACATCCCGTGGGATTCAACAAATGTGGAACTATTTTTTTTTCCAGTATCGGTATTTCCACCTTAATACACGTTTGTTGAATTTTAATTTCGATGAAGTAAGCATATCGCAACGACATATTCCATCACACAAGATCTTACAGTGATTGAAAATTCTTCTATTGCAAGCACTGATGGTACGTACAGTCCGGGCGTAACTTAACTTCCATGCTGACTATCAGCGGGCGTTGCCTTTCATAAAAACTAATAATTTTTAAAGTGAGTATCATTTTAATCAATAATTTCAACTAATCCTTTGTAGTAATTACCAATGTTAGTAATACATGTATGTGACATGGTAGGTAGATTACTCTCGACAGTTCAGATATGTGTGGCAGTTTTAAATGCAATCTACCCATACATGTAAGCTTAAAACCAACTAGATGTTAATTAATGTTATGCTTGTATCGTACTGTGTAAAACAACTCATGTGCCAAATTTATTATCAATATCTGTCATCTTATTACAAATAATATCAGATCAGATTTTTTTAAAGATGTTAATCTTGATAATTTTAAAAATAGTATTTAGTGTGAGGAATTGAATGGTTGTCTTTCCAGTCAACAGCATGCATGTGTAGTTATTGTCTACACCGATCATTGGAAATTGACATCACATAGTGAACTTCAGACGAAACCACAATGCAATCACACTAGACATTTTATTTAGCATGAAAATGAATCATATTAAATTAGAAATGGCGTTGTGACATGAGTAGTCGTGTTATGGTAATCACATTGTGGTTTGAGCTGTGTGTGTCCCCCCCCCACAAAATTATTCTATACACCTGTGCCACCTTTTTATGCATTTTTCTTCAATTTGAAAAATTAAATAAATTTTACCATTGTCTGCATGTTTATGCCGCACATTCTTTTTTCTCACTCATTGAACACTATAAATTTTTCTGCTAATTTTTTTTATTTTTACAATTTTTTTTTGTATTTTTTCAATTTTTTTTTTTTACGAATAACAATTGCCTATTTTAATCAACATTAAAAAGTAAAAGTTGTTTTTAGAATAAGAAAACTGATACTGTGGTTTTATTTCTATGAAATCTCAGATTCATGGAATCAAACCTCATTACTAATATTTTTATTCCCAAAATGTTGGGAAAATGTAATTCAACGTAGCGTTTTGAAATCTTTCTAAACATAAAACTGATGTGATCATAAAATGTTGCACAGCGTGTGAATGAGATGAAAGAACGATGTGTGCAGACGATAAAGGCATTTTCAACCCCAACCGAGTTAACCTACTTTGTTGTGATTTTCAGTCGTTTGTTGTACAGTAAATGCAAAAGAAGTCTATTGCCTAAACAAGGCACTTAAGACATTATTTCAACACCCCAAGAGTTATGATTACATGTATCTGTCTGTATTTTGTTTACTCGTTTGTTCGAGTATAATTAATCACATGACATAATGCTTGGTGACATAATTTGCAATGCTATTGAATATCAGCGAACAATTCAATACTTAGAATGTTGTACGTGTAAATGTATCTATGTGGTTTTTTCATTTTTGTTTTCATTTTTTTTAATTTTTTTTTTATCTCTGCTGTATTCTCTCCACTTCTATAAACATCTGATTTTGTAAGCGGCCTTTGAAATCGATGTTTGTTTAATACACTAAACACTTTTGCTGGTGGAAAAAACACCCACATTTTAGTCTCTAAAATGGAATATGTGTTCTGTGGAAAAAGTGATGTTTTTTTTTAAAGCTCCCTACTTGAGCATGGAAATGTTGGGCAAAATGTGATAAAGCTGTCACTTGTAAAGACGTGCGTATGCTTCTAGCATATCTAAATAGATGTGATAATGTCATCGTGTCAATGAATTTTATCTCCATTTTCACAAGATTTAACCCTTTTAGGATACATGCACTAGAAGCTTTCACACTGCAAATTTTTTAGTGCAACACATTTTTATAAATTTTTTCACTAATTTTTGTTGTCAGTTTTGAAGCTGTCTCAATGCTGAGTCTAATATACTTTACATCTGACCCCTAGAGGTCACACATCCTGGAACTATTCATGACCCCTAAAGGTCGCACATCCTGAAACCATTCATGACCCCTAAAAGTCACACATCCTGGAACTATTCATGACCCCTATAGGTCACACATCCTGGAACTATTCATGACCCATAAAGGTCACACATCCTGGAACTATTCATGACCTCTAAAGGTCACACATCCTGGAACTAATTAGGATCTCTAAAGGTCACACATCCTGGCATTTCATTGATAAGTGTCTATTTTTTGGGGGATGGAATTAATTCTTGTTGAAATTGTATTTGTACCCACTATACCAGGATGTGTGACCTTTTAGGGGTCATACATGCGTCTATTTCCAAATGTTAACAATTGAATGTTGCTTAAATAGATACTTAACTAAAATTTTCATTCACAAGAATGGAATGCGATGACAATTATTTGCGTTTTAGAATTCTTATCCTAAATGTGATTTGAAAATGCTTAACAGATTACATGTAGTTTTCTTCTCAAGCTGCATCATCAAAGAGGCCACCTTGGCGGCCATTTTATTTATAAACATGCATGTTGCCACTTGTTATCTACTGCATCCATTATCTAATTTGACTAAAACTGCGTTTATCCCGTCAACAGCTGACAGGTTCAAATATCCCTCATTTTATAAAGCAGTCAGTCAAGGTCGTTCATCTAGTTAAGAAATTCATAGCCATTATACGCTATTAAATGCGGGGGACTATACACATTCTTAACTACCTGTATTTAAATAGTCATACCAAATACGCTATAAATATTCGTGAGCGCTTGGTGTAAAATTTCAAGTGTTCATCATAAAAATACCTAACACCATTTCTTTTTTAATTCCGTTTCTAGAATTTTCTATTTTTAATTTGATGTTGCGATTACAAGAGTGGCAATGTTGATCAAAGAGTACAGAATCCCGCTTCCAATGAGCGTTGAAGAATACAGGATAGCTCAGCTGTATATGATACAAGTAAGTCTCGGATGTATGCGCTGATGAAACTGCTAATAGTGCACAAAAGAAAATCATCGCAAAATTGAACAAAAAAGGTGCATCTCATTCTTGTAGATTCACTTGTTACCATGGAAACTGAGATTCAATATACATGTGAGCTAGCGGGTGATAAAAGCAATTTTGCCTTCATCATCGCGTGCCGTTCTCTAATTTCTTTAAAATAATCGCAAGAATATTGAACTGATTGAAATTATAGGAGAGTGATTATCTTTAAGGTCAAAGTTCAAGGAAGCTGTTTTGAATAATTTACAATTTCGTAACTCTAATTTAATTTGACTGAATATGATAAGATTTTGTTGCCAGTATTGAATTAACAAATAAAAGTACAGATCAATGGAAATCTCATAAAGTCAAAATGTGTTGACAACCACTTTTCTGAACTATGATGAATGATGTCACTTATTGTTTATGTCAAATTATCCGATAAAAAAAAAATGAGTCACTAGAAATTATGTCACTTTGTATTATCTCTGTTGCGTTAACCTTTTTACCACCAGGCTTTCTCACCCAAATTTGTCTACACTAATATTTCTAGAAATGAACCCTAATTTTGGAGCCAACAAAACTATTTTAGTTAATTTTCAGTTTTTACTTGAAAAAGGAAAGGAAAGTGCAGACTATAAAAGGGACTGTTTTGTGAATTTTTGATGAAAAGAAGGGAACTAGTGGTGAAAAGGTTAATAAATAATTTTATACACTTTGTTAAATATAATGAAACCGTCGCAGGTTCAATATTAGCAATGTATATATCAACTATTTTGTGTATTTATGATGAGAAGAGGTAGCTGGTGGTGAAAAGGTTAAAAGCCAAATACCTGGTGGCGGCCATTGGAAAGACATTTACATCCTGGTTTTTTCAGAGGTATCACCCTATAACAGCAACTCTTAGGGGGTCATGCATAAGGCCCTCTAATTTATTGGGATTTATTAGTTTTTTTTACTGGGTGTTTTGATACATCTTGGTTTTTGTTTGTGTACTAGTAACATCATGTGATATTCAAGATTTCAATTTGAGGTGATGATCAGTTCTGATGAATCAATTTGTCATTATGATAAATTGACATGTTGATGTCTATTAGCAAAATCAAATTATATTTAATGATTTATTATCAATATCAATTATGAAAGGTTTCTAATTATTGTTAGTAATCTTGTGTTTTCCACAATGAGTTAAGGGTAGGCGGCTTGCTCGAAAACCACCTGTGCCTTCCACCCAATCTATGGATTCTATAGATATTTGAATCAGGAAAAATCATTTATTTTGGGTCCTGTCTGTCCATCCGTGTCTGTGTCTGTGTGTCCAGAACCATTCAATATTTTTTGAAATTTTGCGCAAAATCTAAAAAGTATAGTGTACATATGAACAAGAAGTTATTTAAAAATTCAAACAAAAATGGTTGATGTTGTCATTTCAGCCAAGTGTGAGATTTGTTTAATGCAAATATTATTTTTGCTTTTTCCCATGTTGCATTTTATAAAAAAAGGGCTGAAGATGCTACGAGTTTAGCGCTGCCATACTCAATATTTTATCGACTAAAACGTTTCATCAACTAATTGTGAAAAAAAGGTTTGAAAAGAGGGTATCAGAACCATATCCATAGAAAAAATGTAATTCCCTCTAGTGTTAAGCCATACTGTGGCAGTCATTTGATTTGAAAAGTGGTCACGTACATGTACATAGCTGGGGTTCAAAAACTAGTTTTGTTTGCTTGTACCATATTTACTATATTAAAAGCACACAAAACCAATAACTGCATCTCTTGCGTTATACCTGATCCTTAAATAATCAGAAGGAATGCATTTTCAGTATATCAGTGTCTAAGATGTGTTAGACATGACCAGCTCTGATCCTTTGAGTGCCATGGTTTTTTCTGGCACAATTTTAGTGCCAAATTTTGCCTATTATGTATTTTTCTGTAATTTATAAAATAATTTCTAAAATACTGTGGAATACTTTAATTTCGCTGGAATTAATTTTCGCTGAAAATGCTTTTTGGTTTTTCTTTATGGAATTTATTTTCACTAATTTTTGATGAGTTTAATGTGAAATATAGGAAAAAAAGTATATTTGCTGAATTTTATTTTCACGGAATCATCCCTTCAGCGAAAATAGCGAAAATAAATTCCAAGCGAAAATAAAGTATTCTACAGTAAGTGGACATGATTTTCTATTGTCCGCAGATCTTCATCAAACTATTAGAAAAATTAAGAAAAAAATAATTAAAAAAATTGAAAAGGTGACACTATAACTGACTTAGAATTTGAAAGGGTTGAGTCAATGTCACCACATATCTAAATACCCCAGTATCTTTATCTAGAAAATATAAATACAATTAGTACCGGTACTTTATGATTTCAGAAAAAAAGCCGAGAAGAGTCTCAAGGAGAAGGAAGCGGTGTAGAAATTCTAGTTAATAAGCCATACACCAATGGTCCTGGAGGCAATGGGCAATATACATATAAAGTTTATCACATAGGCAATCACTTACCAGGTATGTGACGGAATAGTAGTAGTAAGGGAATATGGGACTGTTAGATGAGAAAATGACTGTAAGATGAGCTTGAGTCTTTTGGGTGAGAATGTGTCTTTTATGCGAGAATGTGTCTGTTATGCGAGAATGTGTCTGTTATGCGAGAATGTGTCTGTTATACGAGAATGTGTCTGTTATGCGAGAATGAGTCTGTTATGCGAAAATGTGTCTGTTATGCGAGAATGTGTCTATTATGCGAGAATGTGTCTGTTATGCGAGAATGTGTCTGTTATGCGAGAATGAGTATGTTATGCGAGAATGAATATGTTATACGAGAACGAGTCTGTTATGTGAGAATAAGTCTGTTATGCGAAAATTAATCTGTTATGCGAAAATGAATCTGTTATGCGAGAACGAGTCTGTTATGCAAGAACGAGTCTGTTATGCGAGAACGAGTCTGTTATGCGAGAACGAGTCTGTTATGCGAGAACGAGTCTGTTATGCGAGAACGAGTCTGTTATGCGAGAACGAGTCTGTTATGCGAGAA